ATATATATATACATGTGTATATATATTAATATATAAAAAATGCATCGTTGGGCACGGCACCCGATAGAGCCCAGCGCTGCAACGGGGCTGCCGAAGGCGCGAGCCAGGCGCCTTGCACCTGAACCCGAGCTCGAGGTCATAGACTGCTGTCTTTTGCTCGAGGGTTACTTTAATTTGGGGTCTAGATCGTTTAAGAGTATAGTTGCTGCCATTTTTCCCCTCTCGCATTGCAGAAATCAAAGCTCAAGGTGAGGTTACTTAGGAGCCACCAGGGTTCAGCATGTATAGGCCCGGTGTGGGGTCTGATGCGCTTGCCATTTGTGTCGAATCTCAGACATTCGAGCCGCACAGGACGTCCAACTTAGATGCTTTGGAATCGGAATAGCCACGTCGAAGACTAAGGCCTAAGGCTTGACCAACAAAGCCACGAGTGGAGGTGCACATCATGTGATGGTGTGCTGTGCACATGAAGACTACAGGAAGAGAGACGAGCGCTCTCGTCAACAGCCACTAGCGAGGCGCACCTGTCTCGCGTGCGCCATAGGTAGCCACGCTCGCATCGGTGAAGCGCATCTCCGACAGGACCGCCCCCGACAAACGCATGGCACCCAATCGCTGGAGTTCCTCCGTGGCTGCTCGTTGCAGTTTTGTGGCTGCCTCGAGAGAAACCGGCCAAGCGGGCCGCAGGCTTGCTGGCGGTGCTGGGACCCGCAAGTAGACGTGAACAGGCACGTCTAAGGACCACTGGGCAGCAACATGGAAGCGGCGGAGAAAGACCAAGCCGCCAGCCGGCACGGTAATCATTGCCGGCTTTTTCGCTGGCTTGCCTTCCTCGGGCGGGTCAGTGGGCTCTGCCTCCTGCATAGTTGCTCCACGCAGCCGTAGAGCGTCCATGCTCCAAACCACAGAGCCCGGTGCAAGCTCTGCCTCTAGCTTGGCAGTTACGGGAGCCTCGGCACACGAAACTGAAGCCGCCATGACTCCATCAACACCATTAGTTTGAAGTACGCAAACTCCATTGGCAGCAACTAAGGTCACGTCTAAGTCTTTCGCCCGGTCCGCCGTCCCAGAGGCCCCATCCTGGACAGTGATGCAATGAGATCGATCGACAGTACGTATTTGGTCTCTGCCTGTTCCAGGATGACGACCGTCACCAGAGAGAGGTTTGTGCTGGTCTGAGCTTGTGGAAGAAAGGACACCTCAGCAAAGGAAGCAACTTGATCTTTCGTCTTAACAAATCCATCTCGAGCGCACTGCAGTGGGTGGAGGCTTCGTCACAAGCACAGAGCCGACACGATAAGGTTCCAGCTGACCTGCCCTTCCATTCCAGAAGACTAGGCTGCGTCCTGCAGCGACTAAACTTCGAGTCTTTCAAAACAGCACAAGTCATTCCAGAAATCATAACGAAGCACGGTGCAACGCTGCGCGTACATGCAGATGTACTTATGTAGGCACATGATGCAGATGCTCGTGTGAAGCACCTCCTGCTGCATATATGCATGTTGCGCATGTATACGCATGTGTGCACACGTGTGTATGTACACATAGTCTTATTTCCTGCATGTACATATGCAACCCCGGATCCCGCCCGCCTGCCCAAACACGGCGAGAGACAGACAGACAGGGAAGAGAGAGACAGAGAGAGAGAGAGAGAGAGAGAGAGAGAGAGACAGGCGGGAAGGAGAGAGAGAGAGAGAGAGAGCAGGAGAGAAAAAGAGAGATGGGTGTGCGGGTGTGCACATATATATATACACACATATATATATACACATACATACATACATACATACATACATACATACATATGTATCTGTGCGTACATAGTGTGTACATATGTATGTATGTGTATGTAGATGTAGATGGATATGTATGCACCATATTACTACACACATATTTCTATTGTTTATGCATATGTGTGCATACATTTACAATAACATTTACATTTACGTACATACCTACTCATGTACGTACATACATACATACACACAAACATAAATATGTACATGCATGCATGCATGCAAACGTACAGACAGTGTGCACACATGCCAGTACATGTATGTCTATGTATGTGTGAATATGTGTAGTAAAACATAAACCGAGAATGTGTGCCAATAGACGGGTGCACATGTACAGACGGAGACGGCAAACAGGGGAAATGAAAAAACGCTTGTATGCCTTCGTGTATACCTGGGTGTGAACTACTGAACAGCGAATACATAGCGAATACATATATAAACAGAAACATAAACACACAGACATAGAGATAGGTAGATAGATAGATAGATAGAAAGGTCACAGATTGATTGATTCATTGATGTACAGTAAGTTATAGTCGTTTGTGTGTGTGTGTGTGAGCGTGTGCCTGTGTGTGCGTGTGCGTGTGTAAAGTTTGTGTTCTGGGTGGTAAGAAGGGGAGAGAGAAAGATAGAGAAAAACTATACAGAGCCTAATTACAGCATGTTCCTATTGAAGCATCATGTTGAGGAGTTGGCCGTCTGCATGGGTTACCTCTAACACTGCACGTCCTGTGCAGTTTCGCATGCCTGACAAATCATGCAGCTCGGGGGTCCTGTTGTAGCAGGACTGAGGGCATCTGGATACCACGGTCGGGTCCTTCGTACAGTCTCCTGCCGTCAGTGGGAAGATATGTCTGCTGCAGAGAGGCAAAAGCATGGTACAGTAATACAGCTGCGGTGGCACCCTGCCTTTGGCTGCCTGGTCTGCGCATGTTGCGCTGCCGTCGACCTGACTATGGTCGAGTCTATTTTCGGGCACATCGGACAGCAGTTCGCCGGAAGAGCAACCCCCCATCGCAGCGAAAAAGGAACAGAAGAAGCTGCTCGCATTGAGCAGGGGACACAGGGGCCTCAATGTCAAAAATTCGTTGTGCGAAATGCTGAAAGACAAACTAATCGTGTGAGATTTTGCGCACGCAAGTATGCTCCGTTCCTTTTGCACATGACTCCCCGTACATTTGCGCCGTCCTGTCTAGTTTTTTGTTCCGAAGTGGACCGCTGTGCAGGGTGACATGCCCTTCTGTCTCCGGACTGCCGGCGACATCGTGACTGTCTGACTGTTCCTCTCCCCGCTCCCCCGATGTCTGTCTCTATGTGTGAGAGTGTGTGTGTGTGTGTGCGTGTCAGAGCCTACCTGTCAACGGATTTGAAAGTGGGAGTCCGAGGACAGCACTAAGCCAGCGCCATAGGCGTGAAGGAAATCCCTGCCAGGCATGTTCCGGGTTCATGATAGATGTTGGCTTGAAAAATGGAGAGTGACTCCTGAAGGTTCCGTGACGGCTGTCTATGAACTGCTGTATATAAAGGGACCGGGTTAAAATACCATTACTCTTGATGCTGAAAGGGGCGACGCACAAGGCTCTGATGTCGGCACTATGGATGCTGCCTCATTAACTTTTCCTGCACAGAGACCTTACATCAGGCAGGTTGAGCGGAAATCCTGCCTTAAGCGGCGCAGCGCGAGAAGGGCTCTAGCGTGTTGCGCGGGGTCCTGTGCTCAGTCGACATAGGGTCTCTGCCCGCCAACGGAGCTCGAGTAAATAGCACGGCACCCGGGCAACAAGCGTTTTCCTCACCCGGCGGGAACAAAGATAAGGTCCTTCTCGACGCCCACTAAATGCCCTCCCAGGCCCTGCAAGAAGGCGACGAGCGGCAACCGGCCCGCTGCACTGCCTGGCGAGTTAAGCGGTCCAAGAAGAGGACGGTACAACATCTGATGCTGGGGAAATCACAGCTTCGGCTATTCCACCGGATGAGGCAGGCAGGCTTTGGGATCTTACGAGTACTTGCGTCCAAGCGAGGTAGAATCAAGTTCAAACATGGCTTGGACGGATACAAGGAGTTGCAGAAAGGAGCAGCCCAGCATGAATTGCCCTTGTCGGAGCAGTGGCAGCACAGGGCGAGCATCATCAGCATCAATTAGATTTCCTCTGAACCCACAGCAGGCATGCCACTGGACAAATTTCAACGATCCGCAGAGGACGAGCTGCTACACTTTCAATTTTCGTGGGCTCTAGCGCAGGGTCGCTAAATCCATCCCATCATTTTGCAGGGCCGGGAGATTGGAGAGAGGTTTCTTTCAATGGAATCCAGCTGATGCTGATGATGCTTGCTCTGCGGCTCGATTAGTCCATCCAATCATTGGGTCGAATTGCTAAGCCTGCAGGGACTGGAGATCGGAGACAAAGATCAAAGGGAAATCCAGCTGATGCTAGCTGACCAACACCCAAACGCGCAGCACAAGCATCATCAGCATGAGCCTGATTTCCTTTCAGCAGGCGTCACAATTCCTCAAAATGATTGATGGATGGAACGAAAGGCTGCGACTTCTTGGCAATTCAACCCGTAGCCGTAGCAGGGATTGCAGTTCGACCCATGGAGTGGACGAATGCAGCCAACCGCAGAGAGCGCATCATCAGCATCAGCTGGATTTTCTTCCAAAGTCAAAGTAGGCGTATACTAGTTCGACACAGTGATTGGGCCGATTTAACGAACCCCAGCGCGAGCATCATCAGCATCCTACCGATTTCCTGCCTTTGGGCCGGCAGCAGGGGTAGCAGTTCGAACCCAGTGACTGGATTGATTTAGCGAAGGCGAGCATCATCAGCATCAGCTGGATTTCCTCGCAAATTGGAAGGATTTACCGAGCCGCAGACCGAGAATCGTCAGCATCAGCTGGATTTCTTTTCAAACTCTGTTTCCGAGTTCCCTGCAATTCAACCCGCAGCAGGAGCAGTTCGACCCAGTCATTGGAAGGAGTTACCGAACCGCAGATCGAGCATCATCAGCATCAGCTGGATTTCTTTTCAAACTCTGTTTCCGAGTTCCCTGCAATTCAACCCGCAGCAGGGGTAGCAGTTCGACCCAGTCATTGGAAGGAGTTACCGAACCGCAGATCGAGCATCATCAGCATCAGCTGGATTTCCTTCCACACTTCCCCCCCTATGTCCTGGCCATTGAGCCCACAGCAGGCGTAGCAGTTCGACCCGGTGATTGGATTGATTTAGCGAGCCGCAGGTCTTGAATTCCTTTCAAAGCCCTTCTTCGTTGCCCGAAGCAGCGTGGCCTTTCGACCTGGCGACTGAATGATGGATTTAGCCAAGCCCAGGCGAGAGGGTCATCAGTTTCCCGGAGATTGAACCCACAGCAGGCGTAGGTGTGCAACCAAATGATTGGACGATTTCTTTTCAAACTCTTTCTCCCATCTCCCGGCCTTTGAACCCACAGCAGCTGTAGCAGTTCGACACATTGATCGGGCAGCTGCAGAGCGAGCTTCATCAGCTGGATTACATTCCAAAGTCAAGACTTACGAGATCTTACGAGAGACAGCTTACGCAGCACTTCCCTCAACCAGCCAGTCAATACCTATGTTGGATATAACAGAAGACGGAGCACAAACTCAAAAACCCGGGTAGCAGACTTCCGACAAGCTGTTCCTGGAATTTCCGTGCTGAAGACAGAAAAAGAAGCATCAGAAGCTTCGGTTTTGCTTTTAGGCTCACCTGCAGAGGTGCAGTATGAGAACCAAGACAACGAATACTGCCACGTGTAAAGATCGATGACCTTGCTGCTTATTTAAGACCCGAAACACACGAACAAAAGCTCAATCAAAGCCTCAAGAGATCTACCGAAACCTTGTAGAGCCCCCAAATCTTTTGACAAAGGGCCCTAAACCAAAATGCCCTGCCTAGGACGGCCAGCACATCCTCTGGGTTCAGAGGAACGTCGAACAACGCGGCACCTGGTCACGGCGATGCAAAGTACGGGCCTACGGGTGCCAGCTTCGTGCAAATCCGAGAGAAGCGCAAACGTAACAAGGTGGATAGTAGTACAAACAATAACGAAGAAGAACATTACGGTTGATGATATGAATCCTGCATTACCTTATGGACCCGGAACTATGGGAATTATTTATATTCCTTATTATCGGTAATACAGGATTTATATCGTCAACAGTGTAGTGACAGTAACCATGATAATAACTGTTTGTTTTATTAGTACTATTGTGATGATAAGTCAACAGACCATACCTGGCCATACCTGCTGTTGAGGCTTCCCCTTCGCAGCTTTGGAGATCGACCTGCCCAACATTCGACATCGCCTTTTCGTTCCCTGGGTCCGATATGAGCCAGGGACATTGCGATCAGACTCCGAGCATAGGCAACTCCGAATTTGCAGTGTGCACCACGGAGCAAAGTGTCCATGTAAGACTGTCGTTGCTTGGACAACCTAAACGCTAACTTGTAGCACGCCTCAAGGCAGGCAGGGATTCAGGCAGAAGGTCCCGGCTAGCTACAGGAACATGTAAGTGCCATTTTTGGCCTACGGAGTTCCAAAGCTCGCTAGGATCTTGGAACAGCGTGGAGCTGGTGCCGCTGCGGACTCGCTAACTTGTCATGAGGTTCGGCCAGCTCACCCATGCAGCGGTCGAAGCCTGTCTTGTTAAATTCCTCCATCCTTCGCAGGTGGCTGTGGTGGACTCCTTCCGGGCAGCCGCGCAGGAACGGCGGCCTCTTCGGCTGCATCCCGAGCACCATCCATGTTCAGCCTCTCCACCTCCATGTCCGACAAGTCCTCCTACGGACCATTGACTTCGCAGCCTCGTCCCGGAGACGCTCCATGCACTCCTCCATACAGGACCGCATCCTCTCGCCAAGTTCGCTGGCCGTCTCGTCTGTCGCTCAGAAGCTTGCGGATCATGTCGTCGATAAGACTCTCGACTGGCTACCGCGGCCAGCATGTCTTTGGCTGCACTCATGCACTGCTCCTTGCCGTCCTCTGGGCAAGCCTCGAGCATGGTCCAGATCTCTTCCTTCACACCTTCCTCCAGGTACTCCCGGACCTCAGAATCCTTAACCTCGATTCGAGCTTTGCCCACGGATTCGCCACTGGCATCCCGGCGAGGCGAATCGCATGCTCTCTTCTCCGTGTCAGATGCTGCTGCCTCCCTGCACAGGCGGACTTCCCCTGAGACCTGCTCGGCAGCTCCGTTTCGGAACAAGAGCGGGAGCTCCAATAGCAACGACGACCGGTCAGCCCGTCAGCGTGGCCAGGGCTAGGGCCAGGGCACAGCTTCCCTGCTCAACAAGCATGCCTCCAACCCTAACCAGCCGACTGACAGCACGCAAACGCAGAATCATAGTGTTTGGCTGCCAAGATATGCAATGAGCTCACCGAAGTTTGAGGCATTCTAGCCCCGTTGTATCCGCCATTGGGGCGTCCAACCACAGCTGCCCCAGAAGGCCATCTGGCCCTAATATTCACTCATTTTCACACGTGTGAGTATAACGGGGGCAGGCGGGCGGGTGCTTTATGATGGCTGCCGGTGCCGCGGCAGTTCAACCTGAAGAAACGATCCGTGGCCTGGACACATACACTGACACACTCAAGACATGTGCTGTTCGTCGTAGTTTAGGGTTCGTGGCTCCAGCTCGTTTTCGCCGGACCTCATGGGCACAGTAAAACAGAGTTGAGGGACAATTCGGTAAGGCCGACTGGATGAATTTAGGGCAGGGTTCGATATCATGGAAATCTTCAACCCGTTTCTTGTGCTCCTGACAACCAACCCAACAGTCAACCTCACTGCGATGTAGCCTGGCGAGGAGAAGCTTCGATTCAAAGTTGTCAGGTCTCCACATCAATCACCTCAATCTGTTCGGCGCCCTTTAACGGGGGACCCGACCCGATCCTGTTGCAGCGAACCGTAAAACCCAAGCAGTTATGCGAAGTCGAAACCCAGACTCAAACCCAAGGGTCCAGCCTCCATTGAGTAATCCCTCGAAGGCAGAGGGAATCGGCAGCTGCGGCAGGTTCGGAACAATGGAAGGATCTTTGGCAGCTTCAGCCTGGAAACAGATGTTGAGCTCATGTTGCTACCTACAAGGCACACGACTGCATCTGCGACCTGTTTGTGCACACGTTCTTGATTCTGAGGAGTACTCACACATTCACCGTCCTCACGTGCACTCACTCCAAATTGACCGAGTGTACGCCTTGTCAGAAAACTACCAAGTGACCTGCTCCTCGCTCGGCGCAAAGAGCTTCGCCAGCAGGCAACTCAGCTTGTCAGTCTCTGAGCCACCTTGGAATCGGGCCCAATGTGGGGTTTTGGGGGTACCTTCTAAAATTCTAGATTCTAGACGCGCGCTATTTATGAAGATATATAGTTTCAAGGGAATTAGACGGGCACTGCACTCTTTGTGGGCACGGCGTTCTCTGCGAGAAACTGCCCATGTCTCCTGATGCAGTCTGTCCAGCACGAAGCAACTCTACGAGCAATCACACCTCCAAGAATGATCACTAATGCAATCATGAGCACCATCACTGCGACAACAGTATCAGCAGTAACTATCACTCATTCTTACAATGGTCATAAGAAGAACAACAGCAGCCGCCTCCACCAACAACGGCAGCGGCAACAAGAAGGGGTGGGAAGCTGCTATCCGGACTAATTCCACATATACACGTACACACACACACACACACACGCACACACACACACATATGCACGCGGAATTCGAGTCTGCGCATACTGAACCAGTTTTCCATAATGACGTTCTGTCATTCTTGCGCAAGCGCAGCTTAGGGGAGTGCATGCCGAGGGGCAGCCCGCAGTTCGGGCCGCAACCTGCAGTGGCCCCTGTGTCTCGGCTGCCAGCGACCCGAAGCTGGCCCAGAGAATGACCACAACATGCACTGCCGCCATTGCTTCTAGCGCTGTGGGATTGATGAACACGGCACCATTATTCTGATCTGCATATATATATATATACATATATCTAGGTTTGGGGTGGGGGCTGAGGTACATACCGTGCTCCATATGTATTCTTGGTAACCGGGGGTTCTGACGGCAGCTGACGACTATGTAAAACTCCCGCCTTTGATGTGTACGCCAAACTGAACGAAATTCCTGTCTATACTATTCTTTCCTGCTTGAGGTACTGTTTGCTTCTCGTTTGATAGCCTTGATTGCGCAGCCGGCTCGTATTTCGCAGTTCCCAGCACAACAATCGAGAAAAGCAGTCTGCAAAGGACTGGCCGCTCCGAGAGACTGAACTGGGCGCCCTGCGGCCAAGAGCTTTGCCTGAGCCTCTGCATGACCTGACAAAGCACTGGACCAGGAAGGAGACCAAATCGAGTCTGAATTTCTACAAAAAGTCACAAATCGTAAACCAAATGAAGCCTGGCAAACACGATAACATACGGACCACAACTGGCCCGAGATGACTTGCAGGCTCCTTCTCGTAGGCATCAAGTCTCGGGTCGTGGCTCTGATGCCTTGCAATCAGGTCCTTGCATGTGGCTGCTGCTGCTTGCGAGGTTTTCGTGCGAGGTTTGGAGGGCCTCCTTTCGTCTCGACATTGCAAGGGTTGTAGGGTTGGGACGAAGGATCCTGAGATCATTGCTCGCATGGCTTAAACTAGTGTTGCTTGGACAAGGCTTGATCACTGTCCTCAAGTAGTCCCAGGAAACCATCATAATAGTGCTACCAACTGCCGCGGCGAGTAGTGAACCGTAGCAGGATTGCAGCAACCCGGCCTAAAGTCCCAAGCAACATCGCATTAGTAGCCGGTCCTCGGTGTCAATCGTCTCTGCGAACCGATCATCAATGCAACAGAGGCGTCCCAAGGTAGCACCTGAGTAGCGGTGAGAATACCAGTATTCAGAATGAAAAGATGCAGGCAATGAAGAACCTGAATTAAATTGCAACACTTGTACCGACAGCTTGTAACAACAGCAGCAGAGAAAAGAGTGGGAATTGCCAAAACAGTGATGCGAGTAGACACAGGGAAAGTATTGAACGATTTCAAAACGCCGCGATGTCCAACCATGCATGTGACACCTGACACACAGCTGTGGGCAGCACCCATGAACTCAAAAGCGCTGCATGTAGGCTTCGAGTAGGTGCCTACTCTACAACCTACAACTCCATCACTGCAAAAAAAAGCGCAAAGCTTGCCGTGGTGTCACCTCAATACCCTCAATGATTACCATCAGTGATTCCTGAGATGTTGAGTATGACGAAAAACTGCTGATATCGCTGCAGTCCTCACCGAGATCACCGGGTCTTCTGAGTGTCGAGGCTGAGCAAGTTGAGATGCTGTGCTTGTTCTGTCGCCGTGTGTTCGTGTTGGGGGAGAACATTATCAGCACGGTGTGTCTACACGCGAATCTAGCCTGTCAGCCTGGCTGGATGTTCTGGCGTGCTCCTTGTGAGCCCGAATCGGCGTCAAGCAGCACGAGCTTGCAGTGACAATCTCCTCGCTGACAACGTCAGCCCGGGAAACGTGTCGAAGAGAACTGCAGCAAGGGAGAGCATAGTCGAACAGCCAGCTGCATAAGCCGACTGGATATATGTCATGCAGCCCCTCTTTGAATTGCAGGCTTAAGGGAGATATAGCCTGCCACCCTGAAGCCGCAGAACGGCCAGGACAGTTCAATGCATCCTTAATCAACGGCGACAACTCGGGAATTGGGACCTCCCTGACCTCCTTCTCCAGCGTGGCACACCTCAACATGCCGAGGCTTTGAGAAGAATCACCAACCCCATGTGCATGCTTAGGTAAGGTCACACTTACGACTTGCGACCATGATCCGAAAGACCAAGAGGATTAAGGCCGTGATTCTCATCATCACGAGTCACGACTTATATCTTGCTTCTACTAGTTTCTATCCCGTCTTCAACAACTGGTGTCCCCAATAACCAATGTTTTCGTAGTGGTAGTCCAGGCCTGGCAGTGGACGCCTCAGCTCTCTTCTCAGCCTCACGGGAGGTGCTCCGCAGGGAAGGGTTTTGGACTCTCACCTGGTGCCCATTTGGCTCAGGTGAGGGTTGGGACTTCCGCAAGCGGGTTTTTGCTTGTGACACCTTTTCCAACCGCCCGTTGACCAGCCAGTGTTTAGGGTTTAGGGTTTCCTGAAGCTTTTAAAGTTTAACTTCTAACGGAACTTCCGCCCCAAGGAGCCAGCCCAACCGTGCCCTAACAATTTCGTGGCCTCCTGGGCTTTCTGGCGCAGTCCATCGGCGCAAATGTGCAAGTCACGTACTTCCTGTTCAGCTTTTTGGACGAAGTCAACGTGTACATGTGGGATTCTTTCGGGTTTGCCCCCAAAAGCTTAGGTCAAAGCCAACATGCACTCCGCCTGCCGGGAGGATACAAACCAAGTACATATCACCTCTGAAGCGGAGCCAGGCTTGCGACCGCTCACGAGGCATAATTGGGGTGTTGGCAACATAGGCATGTGATTCGGCATGTCGCATTGTAGCTTTCCTCCGAACCGGTGGCAAGACTTCACACACCTCTTGTTTGAGCAGGGAGTGCAATGCACCAAAGCCCTAAACCCTACCCCAAACCCCAAATGCACAACCCGGGTCCTGCATCAAGCTGCCAAGCCGAGCTTCTTTGGCCGCCAAGGCCTTTGAATGCCATGCTCGCCAGCTTGGATGGTAGTTCTACCACACTATCGAGTTTTGTGCCGTTCCAGTTTAGGCCGGCTCGATGAGTCTAGTTATGCTGTGTCATAGTAAGGAAAAGAGAAGCAAGAAAATCATATCACACGATGTTAACAACAACAACCCAGCAGCAGAAAATACAATCATAACAATGGTCATTGTAACAGGAACAGTCGGAGTAGTTATAGCATGTTATAGCAATAATGCAATAAACACTTGTGATCATCAGCAATAATCAGCATAGTAATGCTTCCGGGATGCCTGGTTGGCTTCTGCTCTCCCTGCCAGGGCCTCATAGAGCTCAGCTCGTAGCCTGCAGCAGCTCGCACCGTTTAGGGTTCATCAAATTTTCGATCTCTCTCAATTTCCAGACAAGATTCCATTTAATTTCAATTTCGAGAATATAAAACAATGTCCCAAAGATATATCTAAAGACCCAGTATCAAAGACTACACACTCATAGGTAGGGTTTCGGGTGGGTTCTGGGTAGAAACTCAGGCCTTCTGAACCCAAATCTTGATTGAACCCATGCATCCTCAATTCTAGAGCCTTACAATACGTGCATCTTGAACGCGAAAGCCCTAAAACCCTAAACCCTATACTTTGAAATCTACACTGCAAGCCTTTCCATCTCGGCAGCTTGCTCGGCTTGTCGGGTATCTGCCTCGAGTTGACAATGCGACAAATCGAGTAGCGAGTCTGCCGAACAGTAGTGCGACTACGAAAGTCCTGCCGGCACTAGCACGAAAAGACATAGTAACATGACAACACTGTAGGCGACCCCCAAGATGTTAGTCTCCGAAGCTTTAACTACAAGAGACATCTCGGAGCCACATGTACTGCACCCATCCGGCCTGATCGGTGGAGCTATGCAGCTTGGAGAGGAGGTCCTGTGAATTCGCGCTTACATAGCAATGTAGGGTCAGGGCAGGGTTTGAGACCTGCTTTTTTCCCCTGTAGGGCTCAATTGCGGGGTTGTCCCGTTGTGGAATGAAGCATGCTTTGCTGCGCCTCGTTGTGAGCCCGACTCAGGCTCACAGCTCGTTCGGACCTCGGACAGGGCCACGACAAGGAGCACAGAACCGTTGTCAGGCCGTCTTGACCCCAGGCATGGACTCTCTAATGCAACTGTTGGTATGTTTTCCGTCTGCGTCCATGTCTCGTGTCCAGGCTGGACACTCGATTCACGACTGCTGCTGGGAACCGTGCGCGAAGAGCTTACCACAAACCTGCACAAAGACTCCGCGCAAGCAGCTCTTCGTTCTGCAAACAGCTGTTACTTGGTATGCCGTCCGCTTGCAGGTCCAGTAATGCGAAGTAATGGTTTCGAAAAGATCTCAAGTGGCCGAGCCACGGTTCAATTGCGCACAAACCAAACCGTAGCGGGAGCCTCTGCATGCTTGTTGGCCATGTGCTCGGCATATTGCTTCAAGGATTCGGTTTCCTGCTTCCCGGAGCTTCGTTCGGGCGGGGGCACAGTTTCAGGGCATGCAATATATGTGGCAGTCAGGAGAAGCATTCTTCAGAGCCTTTCTTGGGAGCCGCGGGGAGTGCGGCTGCTGGGGGAGGGGGAAGCAGCCGAAGTCCTTCTGCAGTGCGAGGCGTTCGATGCGCCAATCTTCCTCTCC